GAGCCTTGGTCTTATTAACATTCAACTGAAGAAAATTAGCTCTCATCCAGGACTTGATGTCTGCTAGACATTCTGTCAGGACAGCAGTGATCCTGGAGTTAAGGGTGGAGGCAGAGAGGTACAGTTGGGTGTCATCCTCACACATGTGGAAATTGACCCCAAGTCTGCGGGTGATGTCGCCAAGAGGGAGCAATAGATATTGAAGAGGAGGGGACCAAGGACAGAGCCCTGAGGAATGCCGCATGAGATGGTGCGGGGGCTAGAGGAGAAAACAGCTGGGCATGGAGATTTGTCCGAATTCAGTCCTGTAAATTTATCCTCAGAACCAACATAGATTTTGCTCAATTATGTTGAGATTATGATTCCACTATGATATGATATGAATAGGATTTGTGTACAAGCTCCCCTCATAGCTCAGTCAGCATGTCTAATTGCTTTATATTAAGCAGGACAGGCAAACACAAAAGTCCCAAATTTGACCTCCCAAGTCTGTCCTGGGTTAGCTCATCTTGTAGTGGACAAGGGTGAGAGTGTTACAATTGGCCTCCATATCTTAGATTAATAATAATCCTTGAATTCCTTATCACATTGTTGAGACATCTCAAAGCGCTTCACAGGATATACTGTTACGTACAGGATAAGAGCCTTGTGATCACAGTTCAGCATCCAAATTGTTGCCCCAGCACACCACTTGACTAAAACTGAAGGTGATGCAAAGGTTGTTTCACAAATTAATACCAGGGAATACTATGTTTCCAATCTTTTATAACCTAATGTACGATCCAAGTACAAGGTGGTAGAAGTAAAATGACATATCACCTGACTGACCCAAGCAAACTCTTGTCTTCTCAGTTTATGCATTAACGTTCCAGCTTTCAGTCTCATCCTGCCAGCTAGTTTAATCCAGTCCGCACCTGCTATCACTTCACTTGTGATTGACAGACGGTGACATTCCTCTTCAATCATCACAACAAGAGCAGTTGCCAACATAAGTACAAAACATTTGTGTCTCCTAGTCTCTGATTCTTCAAAGGACAGTTTTGCACCCTCTGATTTTCATTCAGACTTGAGAGAAGATGACTCATATGGGACTTCATACAGATGAATAAAGGTTTAACTGGGTTTGAACAGGATGCACCAAAAGTATAGTACAAGAGGGCAAAGGTTTAGAGTTGAAAAGGGCAAAATGGATTGCAGTGTATTAGTTAGAGCACTCGCCTTGCAAGCGAGAGGACCTGTGTCCAATTCCCAGGTGGGGCGAAACCTTAGACAAGTTTCCTTATTCCAGACACCTCTGTTTACCTAGCAGTAATTAGGAACCTGGTTGTTAGTCGATTGGCAGATCACATTTTAAAAAATAATTTGGTCACTCAATCCCCGAGTCTTTGTGGGACATTGCTGTGTGCAATTGGCTGCTGTGTTTCTCCCACAAAATCTATAATCAATTTACTTTACAGTATAATCTGTGAAGCGCTTTGAGACATCTCGAAGATGTGATAAGGCGCTATATCAAGTGCAAGGATTCTTATTATAATTTCAGTACATATACTAGTAAAGGTTTTCTTTACTGAGGGAGTAATCAGTGACTGCAACAGATTACACAAAGGATGGCTGAGGCACTGGGCCTCATTTAAAAAGTAGCTTGATGCTGTGATGGGGCGGGGGGGGGGTTGGTAGGGTGGGCTTTCTAGAAGGATGAGATTGGAGGGCTAAGATCATTCTTCACCAAAATCAATCTTGTGATCCTGTGTGTGCATGGATATGTTGATTGAGGAGCCAGGCAAGTATGAGAAAAGCTGGAGGATGTTGTTCAATCACTATAAACATTTATCCAGCTGTTACTTTAAGCTCTCCTCCACATGTCAAGTTTCCCTCACTTTAGATTTTTTCCAACACACATACAGTTGCTGCTGTGAAGTAAATGAGACATGGAGCTGAGTGATAAATTGCTGCCTCCAGAGAAGCTGAATTGAGCAGTTTGAGCATGAATGAAAAGTGCTCAGTGGTTTTCTCCTTCCACGTGAGGAAGTTCACAGGAGAGTCCTGCATTCTGCTGCCCTCCAGAGTAACAAATTGGGCTGCTATCTTCACTGTCTAGACTTGGCTTTGATGTACAAGGAGCTTAACAATGACTCAGTAGGTTCATCAGAGGGAAGAAAATTGAACCAGGTTAAAGATTAATAGAAAATACTGTTTAAAATAAAGTTGTTTGTACATGGACCGGAAATAAGTAAATAACTTCATTCTCAAGATTGTTAAACACAACAGAGTAAAATGTGAATTCACGCCAAAATAAGAAGGTGGGTGGTGGTGGGGGTGGAGAGTTAGATACTGCACCCAAAATGAATACAATTGAGTAAAACTAGATTTATTTACGTTTTTATAGTATCTGCCTTTGGGATGCCTTAACCAGTCAGTACACAGTGTAACATAGTGTCACAGATATCATGTTGCTGTATTGAATTACATTATCATATGCAGATATTATGAAATTCCCTGGTTCAGTGATATAATTTGTGGCTCAATCATGCGCTGCACAATTAGGAGCTGACCATCTGTCACTGTCTGTCATGACAACACAACTGACAAGAAAACAGAAAATGATGCAAAACAAAGACAACACAAAGGTTCAAAAAATTGCTCAATTGTTATGCTCTGTACAGAACAGCGGTCTGGATTGTGTTCCAAGGCAGAAACACATCTCAGGGCTGAGACAATGTGTAACACATACCAGATTTTTTGTTAAGCTATATCTTGATGATTGCATGCATGTCTTTAAGTACCGCATTGAAAAGGCTTTGTTATTGTGTGAGTCAAACCAAATACACACCCAGTAGAGTCCTGAAGCCTAATTCTCTGATAGTGTCTGGTTATTTGTCCGTAAAGTATTCCTGCTGAGTCAGTTCAGTTTACGTTGCTGTTATGATGAGTATCAGATTACTCAATTAACCATCAATTGATTACAGTATTTTGCAAAAAAGCCTCTCCCTCACACACAATATTATTTTTCTGTTTTGTTTTTCTGTTTATGTTTGTCTTTTTTATTTCTCCCTTTCTATTTAATTCTCTCCTATTACCTATTCATAGAATTATAGAATTATACAACACAGAAGGAGGCCATTCAGCCCGTCGTGTCTGTGCCGGCTCTTTGAAAAGAGCTACCCAAATCAATCCCATTCCCCCGCACTCTCCCCATAGCCCTGCAAACTTGTCCTCCCCATAAAAAAGTATAATTCTTACTTTTTTTGTCATTTTTGCTCGATTGCCCTTTACCTCTCAGCTACAGGGGGTAAGAGAAAAAGGGCAAATAAATAAGACTGAAAGGATTGCTCTTAAGAGAACCAGTACAGTCACAAAGGACTGCATCTGGGCCATGTATTTCCAAGGTTCTCTTCTCTCGCTGTTTGCCCTTTCCCTTTTATAACTGCAGATGCTCCTTTTGGTATTTGTAATGACTCATCCAATTCTCCCTCTGATTTTCTTCCCTCACCCCTCTCTCTGCCTGTTACATTTCCATGGACAATTCTGGTCTGTGCTCATAGCCAAAGCCTGTTGCAGTCCTCGTAAAGCAGCCATACAGACACTTCCTGTAATGAATTACTGCATAGCAATCAAAAGCGAGAGCCCTGACCCACGTCCACCATTTTAGCTCTGTCTCATTTGAGATTATCCAACAGCACAGTATAAGGAACAAGTTCAGCACGTTCCTGTTTTACCCGACTCAGTGCAATACCATGTAGTTCATCCATCTAAAAAGCCATCAGGAGGACTCTACTTGCACGTTCCACTGAGACCCTGTGTTGAAATCAATACTTTATTTGATACAGAAATTTGGATTACAAAATTTGAGGCTTTTTTCTGAAGGCTCGCAGGGAAGTTCAGACAAGTGTAGTACTCACTGGCACCTCATTGTCTGATACCTCACCCATTCTTCACATGACCTGAGGATTTTGAGGGTGTCACAGCTTATCCTGAAGCTGTTTTCATTCAATATCTACATAGACATACTTTTCAGTATACGTCATCAGGATAGAGAATGGGAGAGGGAACCTTGGCTGATTTTTCTCTTTCCTAGCCCAGGGATGCTAAGGCCAACTTCACCAGGCTACATACATAGCACAAAACTGCCCCACACAGCAGTCTTGCTCAGAGAGACTAGATGGCAGGTGTGAGAAATGGAAATGACCCACTGGTGCATCAAGAGGTGCTTTTGTGATGTCAGAATGACGAGCATATTGTTTAAATTGTTGTGGCAATACATTTTGGCAATCTTAACCAAAATTTAACAAAGTTTTATTCTGAGTGAACCTGGTGCTGATAGTAGATGCCAAAGGATGGAAATCTTTCTATTTCCAAACCATGGCAATCCTTAACGTCGGTAACCAAAACAAAGTTCACCGTCATAAATCTATGAATATCTTAAATATCTTTTTACTCTTATGAGAACCCCTGTACTAGCCATCACTCTATGAATAACTTTTTTTTGATCAAAGAAAAATCATCCCAAGGGTCCCTCTGGAACTCCTTCCCTTTATGTCTTTGTCCTGCTTTCAATTCTACCTCTTTGAATGTGTCTATAGCAATCTCCCTTGCCCTATTCCTCCCCTCTCCCTTGCTCAGTGTCCAACTCCATTGCTGCGAAGCAACCCGAGACATTACCCTATATGAAGGGCACTATATAAATGAAATGTTGTGGCTACCATTCTACGTCAGTACAAACCACCAAATGCACAGATTATCCTGCTTATGATCCTTTGCTGCTCATTGAATGCATCAGTAAGTGATTTGTGTGACATCACTTTAGCCCCGATTGCAGTGCAGAGAGTAGTGTTAACTAGTGTTATTGAGGAGGTGAGGCCCAATTAATGTCTACCCAGGTAAATGGTGTGTCTGTGTGGCACGTTGAGAAAAACGGGCCACTGATCATTTGACAAAAAATACACAGAATACTACGTCATCCAATGTCTTAAGAAATATTAGATTAGTTCCATATAACATGATGAGAATCAATTCTATTTGCCTTTATTTATAAAAGATAGACTTGTTCTCCCCCAGATATTTTGATGTAAATAAGGGAGAAGGGTACTTAGGCAACCACAAAGACATCCTGCCACTGCAGCCCAGCAACACAGACACAAACATCCAATCCATCCGAGAGAAAAGAAGAAGACCCTGAGAGCAGATGGAGAAAAAACGTAGTAGGGGTAAGAATTGAAATCTTACACTTGTAACAAGATTTCCAACTTTTACAGCAAAGCAATTATAACAGAGATGACAGAGTTCTATATTTTGATGAGCGTTTTAGCTGTGTGCCAAATTAACTCTTCATATTTGCACTCTGGTTTTACTAAGTACACACCAACAGAAAGAAGCCTGGATATAATGAAACTAACTGTCTTTGTGATTTTTCTTAGTGTGTCCTCTCAGAGAATGCTTCATTCGGCTATCAAATTTCAAAAGATTTGTTACATATAAATACACAATGCAAATCAATCATATGTGTGCAGAGAGATATTGCTCTAAGGATGAAATGTAACATTTGTTATTGTTTCTCTGTCCTTCACACATTCTTTCTTTCCCTTTTTGTTGTGACTCGTTGGGCCGAATGACCTGTTTCCATGCTTTAACTGTCTATGTAATTCTATGTAATTATTGTTTTTCTGTATCTCACATGCTCTCTCCCTCTCTGCTGTTTTTTTAAGATTCTATTCCTTGATTTTTCTTACATTTCTCCTTGTTATTTGCCATTAGATTCTCTCAATGTATTTGGCTCACCCTTTCCCCCATTTCTCTTCCCTCTCTGCCTGTGAATTGTTACTGCCATTGCTGGGCATGTATGCCTCCAACACAACACATTGCTGTCACACTTTTGATTGTGTTTGTGGCAGTGCACTTCTACTAGGATTGGAGGGCTGGTTCAATCTGACCTCCTTCATACTCAAAGCACTCTGAGTTACCACACACAAAAAAAACAGCTGCCACTTTTTAATTCCGATCACTACAGCTCTTACAACATCAAACTTAAACCAAGTCAACCCTGGAAAATCCCAGCAGATTCAAATTACGATTCCTTCCTCTATCTGTGGACAAGTACAAAGTTCGTTTAGATAAGGGAATTCTCATTGCAATTCCCTTGGAGAGGCCTTTATGTTTTTTCAATAAAGTGTGGTATCCATTCCAACACTGGTCTCTACAATTTGAGCAATCAAACTTTTACTTCTTGATTTTTCTTAAACTTTCTACTCTGTTGCTCGGCTCCACCACTGACTCGAACCTCATCTCACCGAGACCCTCATGCCCGCATTCACAACATCCAGGCTCGACTACGCAATCTCCCTGCTTGTCAGCCTCCCCAACTCCTCCCTCCATAGGCTGCAAATCATCCAGAACTCTGCAACCTGTGTCCTTTCCCGCACCAGGCTCCGCGACCCTATCACCCACATCCTCGCTCGATTCCACCGGCTTCCCATCACATAGAGGATACAGTTCAAGATCCTGTTCCTCACCTTCAAAGCCCTCCATAGCCTTGCTCCCCCTACCTCTGTAACCTCCTAACCCCTACCAACCTGGAACTCCATCCCACAGTTCCTCCGCCTCTTTCAAGACCTGTCTCAAAACCCTCCTCTTCGAACGTGGCTTTGGTTACCCTCCTTCCCCAGTGCCCCTCCACCCTTGGCGACCCCCAGTTCAGGTCTGAAACACTGATTGTTCAGCACCTAGGGACATCCTCCCGACGTGAAAGCTGCTATACAAATGTAATTCTGTGTTGTTCTTGTATTCCTTTCAACCCGGTGATATCCTTCACAAGGACCCTTGATCCTCCCTCTATGTTTTTCATTTTTTTTTTAAAAATCACTCTTCAGCCAGCCATAATCCACATTGTTGGTCAGGTGGGCCAGAGCTGGCTTGAAACAGAGAAACGTTGCAGGGCAATGTTGCTTTATTATGTCATTAAGAAGCCCCTGTTGCCACTGTTACACATTAGTAGGCCTTGTGACAACAGCATGTTGATATAGTAGACCCTCTGTTAAGTGCTGCAACCCAGTGTTAAACTGCAGTTATAATCAAGAGGTACATGATATCTGATATATGTAGTTTCTCTATATTTGAGGGGGGGGGGGGGGGGGAGTCATGAAGAATCCAATAGAGTAGCCAAGGTCATGGGATATCAAGATCATTGTGGGGTGGGGAAGTACTTTCATGATTTAAACTGGCCAACTCTGTCAACAACAACCACAGCTTATAGTTATATAGCACCTTTCATGCTTGGATAAGGATAGCATGTTGCATAACATCTTGGGAGTGCTTTACAATCTGAATTTGGATGTTGAGCAAGGGAGAGAGGTATGGAAAAAAAAAGGGACAGGGCTATAAGTGTGTTTGAAGAGGTAAGTTTTAAGGCTGCACATAAAAATAGAGAAGGGGCGAGAGACAGAGGAGTAGAAAGCAGGAGTTCCAGAGGTTAGGGCCCTACTCAACTCGATTTAAACTATTGAAACGAAATAGCTCCCAGGGTTGAACACAGCAGCTTCACTAAGCATGAATTAAAGAAAGATTTTCCAAGGAGCTTGAGCCAGACATGGACAGTATCATTACTCAGATGCCCAGGGGAAAGGGATATTTCAGAACATGTTTTGCCTTGTTCCTTAAACAAGGAACATAATAGTTTAGGAATATCACAGTTGTGACCCCAGTGTTGTCTGTTCGATGCATTAGCAGACAACCAAAATTACCAAGAAAGGTAGTTGAGGCCAGGACACTGGGTTAACAATAATAATAATCCTTGCATTTGATATAGTACTTTATCACATCATTTAATAATGCAGCCTTTTTAATAAATTTGATGAAACACTTTGAGGCGTCCTCTTGATCTGAAAGGTGCTATGTCAAATGCAAGGATTATAATTATTTTTATCATTATCTGGTGAAATGTAATCTTACCATACAGCCTATATCAGTAGCACTCTGAATCAGAAGTTTGTGCATTCAAGACCCATGTCAGGAATTTTGAACTCACAATCTAGGGTGACAGTTTATAAGTTTGGGGTGCACCACATTGGCAGAGGTGTCGATTCTGGCTGTTCAGGTGAACATCAAAAATCCCATGGTACTATTTGAAAAGTAAGGGAATTTCTTCTGGTTAACAATGCTCCAGATAAAATTGGTAATTCACTTTTTGGTTGTTTGTGGGATACTGGGGTGTGCAAATTGGCCGCTGTGTTTGACTACAACTACACAGTAAAATTTTCAACCAGGTCATCGGTCACCCCCCTTCCTCTCCCTTCTCCCCCCTTGACCCCAGCTCGGGTCTGAAATGCTGCACACCGTCCAGCACCTTGGAACATCCTCCCGACATGAAAGGCGCTATACAAATGTAATCTTGTTGCTGTAAATCTGTAAAGTGCTTTGAGATGTCTTATGATATAAGACTCTGCACCAAATACAAAGATTATTTCTACTTAAAAGCATAGTTTATATTTATGTACTTCTATATGTATGTATAGTAATGATAAATAATAATCCTTGCATTCAATATAGCACCTTGATCACATCATTAAGTTGTCTCAAAGCGCTTGTAAGTAAAACACTAAAGTGAATACATGTTTCATAGTCGGTAAAATTTCCTTGCGTAAACTCACCCTAAGATCAGTACAGTTGTCAATGCAGAACCTTTTAACTTCCTTAATTCGCCCGCAAGAGTTACTCCCTTTTACGGTAAATCAAGTGAAGTGTTTTGACACAGAGGTCCAGCTGACCTGAAAGGCATTACATCAAATGTATGGATTATTATTTTTTTTTATTTAATTCTATCATTATACCTGAGTCAGTGCAAAAACAAACACCGCACACAACTTCACAGAAGAGGCATTTTAAAGGTAGAGAATCATGCAGACTTGCTTTCAAAAGCAGCCATCAGAGGCCACTTAACACTTCCAACTGGTTTGAACTGACCTTAACCCTATATAATTAGCTTCTTGCAACAGGCAACTGGTTTCACAGAAACCAAAATAACAAAACAGGGAGAGCATCAAAATATAGTTCAACCCAGTCTCTGCTGCAGCTAAAGCTTGAGTTTCCAGGTCAGTTGGGGATGGTGGTGATGCTGATGTTTTGGTTGGTTGGTGCTGTAATGGTGGTGGTGTTGTTTGTGGTGGTGATGATGATGATGATGTGTACTTTCTGATCACTCCCAGTGCTGCCATTCTTCTTCCTGGAATAGAGGGCGGGAAGTACACGTTGTTCCTGGAAATCGGGCGACCAATCGACGAGGACTGGTGTTTTCGGTGACGCCGAGTGCCCCACTGCTAAAAGGAAACGGAGACACACACACACAGAGAGAGCACAGCCACTGCACTGCACTCACTGGGGAGACACACACACAGAGAGAGCACAGCCACTGCACTCACTCACTGGGGAGACACACACACAGAGAGCACAGCCACTGCACTCACTCACTGGGAGACACACACACACAGAGAGCACAGCCACTGCACGCACTCACTCACTCACTGGGGAGACACACACACACAGAGAGAGCACAGCCACTGCACTCACTCACTGGGGAGACACACACACACACAGAGAGCACAGCCACTGCACTCACTCACTGGGGAGACACACACACAGAGAGAGAGCACAGCCACTGCACTCACTCACTGGGGAGACACACACAGAGCACAGCCACTGCACTCACTCACTCACTGGGGAGACACACACACAGAGAGCACAGCCACTGCACTCACTCACTGGGGAGACACACACACACACAGAGAGCACAGCCACTGCACTCACTCACTCACTGGGGAGACACACACACACACACACCCACAGAGAGCACAGCCACTGCACTCACTCACTCACTCACTGGGGAGACACACACACACACACACCCACAGAGAGGAGCTCAGACCCTCGGCCCAGGCAGACTATCAGCACCAGGGCCCGGGCGGGCACTGACCCCCTCCCCACACCCCCTCTCTGCGTTGTCTGTCTCAACCTCTTTAGTCGGTATCTGAAGCTCGTGGTCCCCTCTCCTCTCCGCCGCTCAGACACCGCCTGTCCCGCCGGACTGACCGCCGGACTGACCGCCTGAGTGAGTGGCTCCTCGGGGGGTGAGTTCACAGCCTCTCGTGTCTCTTGATTCTGTGTTGGGGTTTTACCCGAATACCGGTGTGTGTTGTGTTGTGTGTTATATATATATATATATATATATATATTGGAAGCGGAGACGGGACAAAAGCCTGAAGTGTGAGTGAGTGAGTGAGTGTGTGAGGAGGAGAAATGGGGGACATTCCCGCAGGTCTCTCTTCCGGGGTTGTGAGCCGCTGGAACCGCGTAGCCGAGGCCGGTGTTACACTGTACCCCCCCCCCCCCCCCCCGGGGGGGAATGCCCCCCTCTCCCCCCTCTCTCTCACTCCCCCCTCGCTTTAACTTTTTCTTCCTGAGTCTTTTTTTTCCTCTTCTCCCCCCTCTCTCTCCCCCCTCTCCTCTCCTCTCTCCCCCCCCTCTCTCCCCCCCTTCTTCTCCCCTCTCTCTCCTCTCTCCCCCTCTCTCCTCCCCTCTCTCCTCCCCTCTTCTCCCCTCCCTCTCTCTCCCCCCCTCTCCCCTCTCTCTCTCCCCTCTCCCCTCCCTCTCTCTCCCCTCTCCCCCCCTCTCTCTCTCCCCCTCCCCCTCTCTCTCCCCCTCCCCCTCTCTCTCCCCCTCCCCCCTCTCTCCCCCCCTCTCTCCCCCTCCCTCCCCCAAAAAAAAATTATTGACCAGCAAACCAGATTCAAACAACAACCAGTCACTGTGGGGGGGTTCGTGTCTCCCTGGGGGTTGACTGTGTGTGTTTCAAATCCTTATCTTATGTGAAGGCTGCTGTATAAATGAAAATTGTTGTTGTTGCTGCCCTCCTGGAGGGGGTCTGTGTCTCTCTCTGTCTCCTCTCCTCTGGGGTGGAGGTGTGTGTCTGCCTATCCCTTTCCCTGCTCTCCCCAGGCCCGGGGGGGGGTGGAAGTGTCTCTAAGGTGCTGTCTGTAGAAAGGGTGCTATATAAATGCGAGTTGTTGTTGTTGTTGTTGTCCCCGTCTCCTGTGGCTTGTGTCTGTCTGCTATTCCCGGTGTGATTACAAGGCTCCTGATGATTGGGTCTGTGATGGTGTGCGCCACTCTCTGCTCTCACGGGGCTGGGGGGGGACCTAACGGCTCTCCTTTTTTGTGGGAAGGCATTTGTCCATTTATCCTCTTTCTCTCCTCTCCCCCCGAGTTGGAGTTGTCTGTCCGTCTGCTATTTGTGTGCCTCAGACTGGAAGTCTGTCTCTTTTCCCCGAGGCTGGATCTGTCTATTCACAGAGAAATGGCTGCAGGTGCCTCGCTCGTCCCCAGGACTGGGGCCGGAAGTATCTTTGTCTGCTGTTCCTGGGGCGCCTGCGTCTCCTCTTCGGGCCTATAGCTGGAGCCAGACTGAAGCCGGTGGGGCCTTGTTTGACTGTGCTTACCAGGCCCGTCTGTGTTCTGACCAGGACTGGGGTCAGAGGGTTCAGGTTGGCTGAAGTTCAATCTGGCCACTGAGGTAGAACAGACAGACTATCATCAAAACTATTGGTGGGGGGTAATTTGTTAGTTATTGAGTCTTTTTGTTGGAGACTCGGCTTGTGTTCTGGGTTGGCAGTTTTTCTCTTGCACACAGCGGATGACTCATTGCTTCACGCAACTTTTTTTTTCCTATCTCAATTCAGAGAGGAACTGTGACCTTTTACAATACAATAACCCAAATCAAACTGAAGGTATGGAACTGGATGAACTGTTTACACAGAATGACTGATGTTACTGCTGTGCTTTGAAGCCAAATATCGAGTTTTTTCTGGCCGGCTGGCTTGTCATAAAGTCTGTTAATGTTTAATCAATAAGCAAAAGGGCCAAGATAGGGGTAGGTAACGTGTCAAATTTTTATATTAAAATTCTGATTCATTGGAATCTTGAAATGCTTGCGGCTTGTGTGATCATTTAATGTTAAGGATTTTTTTAGTCTATTTAGCAAGTTTTAAACTATGAAGTTCAGTGGAATTGCACAGTCATCCTAATGTACTGAGATGTAAAGCAACCTTTTTCTCCTGGGAGGGATTTGGGAACTATTTCTGTTTGGGTTTTTTAGGGGGGAAAGAAAAGGCAGGAAGAACTACACATTGATATTGCAATGTGAAAATGTCCAGGGCTGATTCAAACCTGAGGGGTATGGTTTCTGTCTCTTTTTTTAAATAACTCGTTGAGTGATATTTGGACAGTAAATTGTAAACACCTCCAAGGTGACAAATATTAGGAAATAACTGGAGTGTTTCTAAGGTAGATTTTTACTTTGATTACATTTTACAAGCACTGTAAATATCATAGGAAGTGCTGAATTTATAATGTGTGATGGAAAGGTATATTTGGGGGCCTGGGGGGAAAGGGTAAGGAAGAACGGTGTTTTTATGCAGGCTGTTGATCAGATGTACTATGTAGCTCGCCCACTTACAGTGGGTATCTTATATGTTGAGGTTTGGACTGTGCTGCTGTATAAATAGCAGCTGATTCTGTCTGTGTGGATTACCGCTTGCTGTCACATTGCAGCCTTGTGACGGGCAGAAGTTAATGCTTTGGTCCATGTGACCCTCCTGAGCTCAGGGAAAGAAGAATGTTGCTGTTGAGAGAGATTCACGTGAAGGCTCTTAACTTTCCATTTACTAGGTGAGAAACTTGCTGTTGTTCAGTTACATAGGCCTATTTTTGTTTAAATTTTCCATTGCCCAGTCACCATATAATATGGGTTTGGAAGAGCTGATAAAGTGGACTCCCCAACAGTCTCCGGAATTGCAGCACAGAATCAGGCTGGAAGTACTGTTTCCTGACGATACAAAAGCTGACTTTTTAAGGGGAGGAGTGATGTGTGACCTTGGATTCTTTTTTCTTATTTGAAGACTTCTGTTCAAGAAGTTGCCATATGCTTTGGCATTGTAAATTTTCTATCCAGGGGAACTTTCATACCTCGTGGCTTATTTGACTTTTGATAACCTCTACAGTGGTTGACCATCACATTTTTTTTTAACGGGGGAAGTTGTGGAAAGGGATTATTAAAGAGAAGAGAGGGAAGTGATTGAAATAACAAAGTCATCACTGCGAGGAAGGAGGGTGCTTCTTTTCTGTAGTGGCAGTTGACGCAACAGTTAACTGAGTTCACAATAAAAATAGGTGTGTCATATCTAGAACCAAAGTGCTGTACAGGATTGCAAAATGCTTGTTTTGACGAAATTGATGACACTTTTTCACCGATGCATTGCGAGTTTCGACCTGTGGGTGTCTTTCCCTGGAAATGTCCATTGAGGCCTATGATTGTAGGAAGAAATGCTGCTGCGTGAAGTAAAATGAAGCTAATGGCTGTGTTCAGTGGACGCTGAGGAGGAGATGGTGTCGGTGCTATGCATTCTTACTGATTCGAGTCTCAATTTCCACTAATGGGGGGATCTGATAGATTTGTTAGGTTTCATTTCAACTTCTGTTAGTTTGAAATGAGATTGCCTATATTTTTTAAATGGGGCATTCCACTGGTAGTTGATGCTAGAACATTTTTAAGGTAATTTGGCTTTTACAGATACTATCCTCCACTCCAACTTCTTAAGGGAAGTCCCCTCCTCTCCTTTGGCCTGAAGCATGGTGCTGCAATTCATGTAAGCAGACTAGTTTCACAACCCTCTTGCTCAATAATATTCATGTAAACCTAGGCAGTGAGTACTAGGCTGTTCCTCTGGTGGAGAGAATTCAAAACAAAGGGAACATAATCTTCAAATCCGAACCAAAACTCTGATTTGAATCTCAAATCAGAACTAAACTTGTTAGTGGCAAGATTAGAAATGTTTATTCATGCAGAACATGGGGCAATGCAATGCACAAAAGACTATGGGGGCAGAATTGTCTTGGATCACAAGATCAGCTTGGATGAAGGTTCTTCAACCATTTAATCTCGAACTTCCAGATTACCTACCTTACCGTCTTCCCGTTACAACATCAAGCTGTTTATTAAATGAGTTCATCATCCTGGCTTTGACCACTTCCTGGTAATCTGTTCATTTGCCCACAAAATAGTCAATCCACTTTGCAGTATATCCTGTGAAGTGCTTGATATGACTTGATAAGGCGCAATATCAAATGCAAGGATTATTACTACCCAATGGGCAAAGAAATGTTTCCTGGTAGTTGTCCTGAAACTGCCCTTTGCCACCTTCAATCTGTGTCCTCTTGTTCTGCTGCCCTGATGTATTTGTGGTTTACTTTTTCCAATTACAATTAAGTAATCAATTGAATTTCATAGAGCCTTAAGTGATTTTTTTATTGTGAAATTTGGTGACTATTTGTAGGTGATTGTGGCAGGCAATTTTACACTCAGTAATAACCGCAAACTTGGGCACAACCAACCAATTTAACAAACAACAATCTGGGGGATTGCTGCTCTGGATCCCTGTAAGAAACTCCATTTTTTTTCGGGTAGTGCCATGGGATTTTTTTTTTTTAAAAAAACAGCTTGGTAAAAGTAAACTGGCATTTGCATCCTTGATTTTTAACATCTTATTTGAAGTTCCATACCTCAAAAAAGCAAAGTGCCAATGTGGGGATTGAACCCACAGCCTTCTGAACCGCAGACAGCAGTGCTATCGGTTGAGTCAAACTGACACCAGAATATCCTTTATGTATTTTTTAAAAAGAAAATAGATACTCGAGTAAGGAATATGGAGAAATTTGATAAAAGATTTGTCTGAATTAATGAACAAATTGAATGGCCTACTCCTGCTTCTATATTTTGCAGGGTGAGGTGACGTTCCAGCAAAGCCTGATGCTGTCTACACGTGTCCAGACAGCAAGGTTTACTGCCCAGTAATGGAGTTTTCTAATGTAAATAAAAGTCGGTGTAACATACACTCCAAAGCTGCAGTGTGTATTAGTCCAGGAATATGTTTTGCCTTCCATTCGGGTGGGCAGTATACAGACTATTTCAAATGAAGCTTGTACTAGTCTGCTTCCTACGGTGTATGGTGGGTTTCGCCCACGGTAAACTGAAGTTCAGAATTTTTTGGCAAGATGTTTAGTGGAATCTCCCAAATGTTTCAAATGACGCAGGCTGTTTAAAGGGGTGGAATTGAGTAGTGATAGTACTCTCATACCTTGTATAAATTGCAGCTTTGTTTAATATTTATCTTGCAAACTGAAACCCCATAAAACTATTTGAAGACACAAGGAAAGTTTTAGTAATCCCTACACTTGATATAGCACTGTTCAAGTTGGGACGATGAAACAAAGCACTTTGCAAGATATACCATAAAGTGTAGTGACTAATTGTAGGCAAATGCAGCAGCCAATTTGCACAGAATAATGTCCCACAAACAACCATAAAATTAATGACCAGTTTTATTTGTAGGGTTGTTAGGCGGGAGAAACTCCCTTGATTTTTTTTAGCAATGCTCAAACATCCACCTGAACAGGCAAAGATGGGACCTTGCACAGAAAGTGGAGGAGGGGAGCCTAAATGATATCTACAGACTAGATTTATTACATTCCTTGTGAACATCAACAGATTATGCACCGGCATTTCTTAAATGCAAAATTGCCATTTTCCTCCAGTGTTTTTGCTCACTGGTTTATTTTCTGACTTCGCTGCTCGAGATTTACAATTCACCAGCCGTGAATTTCAGAATCCATCAAATCTAGTTTACGGCTTGTTTTTAAGATCATTGCATGCATAAACTGGTGTGTGGATTAACAGGCAGAGTAATCGTTAGTCTTGTGCTTGTTGCTATAGTCCGGTAAAGCAAGATTTTATTTATTGAGTGCCGGTAATAGATATTTATTTTAATTTTCATTCCTCAATTGTATTTTTAATCCACATTGAAATATTCAGTTATTTGAAAGAAGCAATGACTGAACTGTCTAACTGCTTCCATTTGACTACTGCACCTGTTGTGTTTGACTGTCTTCTCTGACCCCAGACAAGACAGAGTAACTGTTTGCCAGTGACTAATGCCGATGCCTTTGCAAGCAGCTGAGGTTCACGTGACCTATGTTGTTTGGAGGAGTGGGGGGTGGTAAATACAAGAGAAGGTGATGAAATGTATTTACTGTTGGGAGTACATTCATTATATAATTCAGAATTGTGTTGCAAGGAAGCTAGTATTTGTGTAATGACAGTTTATATTGAGACTTTTTTATGACAGTCGTATTGAGCCCATGGACATGAGAGCACATCTTATTCAAAAGGAGATGCTTGTAGTCATGCTATTCAATATACGCTACTGCAGTATATCTACACAATTTTCTAAAAGAAAGCCATTTGGCCATCAAGCCTATGCTATTGCTTCCGCTGGAGCTATAACTTCAATTCCCAATTTTCCTACCAGCATCCTTTCTCTTATATACTCCCAAACAAACTACTTATCTGTTAAATCCTATGACCTTAGCAGCAATATGTGCAGTGTTTGTGGCAAATCGTTCATGTTCTAGTTGCAAGACAGTCTTGTACTTCTGCATACCATGTTACTGATTGCAATGACCATTCTATGTTACAAAATGGGACCAAATTTGGAATATTCGATGCAAGGTTTCAAAACTGTAGTATTACATTTCTAGTATTAGTGTGTATGTTACTGCAATTATTGTGTAGTAGAGCCACCAAATGGCTGTGAAAAGGTAGTGTAGCCTTAGTAGTGATAGTAGAAAAGGTAGTAATAGTAAATCCTTGCCTTATCACTTTGTCAAAATGTCATGTGCTTCACAGAATTTTACTATAAAGTGTGCTGACTATAAAGTGTATCCAAAAATCAGTCCAGGCTTTATTTCTCCTTCTCCCTCCCCCTTCCCAATTAGCCTTATCTTAAATTCCTCAAGATCCTGCACAAAGAAATAGAGTAGATTAATATTGCACCCTAAAGCTAGCTTTCAATTAGCTTTTTTTTCCCTGATTCCTACAAGGATGTGTACAGTATATAGAATCCCATTTGTTGTGAAGGATCCTTATGAAGGGTGTGGTATCCTGTGCCTAATTTGTCCTTTTTGCTCTATATACGCTGTGGTTGGATATCTAGAATATCCAGTGTCCCCAGAGCGACGTACCTTGCTTACCCAATTCCTGAAAATAGGCAAGATTGTCAAGAACCAAGGCTTGGGGACCCGAAAATGTATGGGAGTACTCCTGGAGTTTAACCAGCTAAAACAACATAGCCTGCCATTGAAAGCGTTGCCTTTTGCTTGTCTGTACCCATTAGGGCTTTGGCTTGCATGGTTAACAGTAGCTGAGTGTGAGGAATCCCAGTTCAAGTGACTAGTCAGCTTTTTCAAGTCCTATTGATCATCCCGGCTGCTGTGCTTCATTAGCAGTGCTCTGGATTACTGCAGACCTACTTTGTTTAGGAATTGTACTATCGATACTGCCACAAAAGAGTGACTTGATTTCTGTTGCCCAATGTCACCTTGGAGCCAGTTCAACTCCCAATAAATCTGTTATCACTGCCCAATGATCCCTGCAGGAAAGTGTGTGGGGTTGGGTGAAGAGGTTCAGGGAAGGCTTGTTCTCTGAGGGTGTTTAGGGACTGTTGGGTCTGACTGTGCAGTGATGCTCACAGTTACAACTGGGGAACTATACCCCAGAGATACTTGACATCTGGAAAATTATGAGATTGGGGAATGAAGTATTGGCTCAGTATGTTTGTATACTACCTGTATAAGTACTTTAGGATGTCCTCCTGATATGAAAGGTGCTATGCAAATGTAAATTTATATTGTATCAAAATGAATTGGTGGGAGAGGAGACTGAATAAGTGTAGTTTATTACCATATGGCAAACTTCTGTGTATTATTGCATGATGTTTTACAAAATTAAATCCTTTGCATAAGAATAACCAGTGATTAAGTGTTCTTTTTAAACACTATTTACAGGTATGGCTCAAGAAACTAATCCGACCCAAGGGCCTATGCTATGTGCGACAGGCTGTGGGTTTTACGGAAATCCTCGGACAAATGGAATGTGTTCGGTTTGCTACAAAGATCACCTACAAAGGCAGCAGAATGGTGGTAGAATGAGTCCAATGGGTAAGCTATGAATTATGCTGCATTTGCTAGATGTACATGTATAATCGGACATCATCCTGACGTGAAAGGCACAAGATGCATGTAAATTATATTGTTAATAATGAACTTGTTCCATCTTCCATTCTTTCTACCTTGTGAGACGTTACTAAGTAAATTAGGCATGTTCACATTGGAAAAGAGACTGAGAGGTGACGTGATTACTGTCTTTAAAATTCTAAAGGAGCTAGACAATATAGATCATGTCAGGTTGTTTCAACTTTTCCAGAATAGTAAAACCAGAGGACATGGCCTGCGATTGAAAGGGGTAAATTCAGAATGAATCTACGCAAACACCAATTCAGTGAGCAAATAGTGAACCTGTGGAATGGTCTCCCTAGGGAGACGGTTAAAGCAGGAAGTGTTGATTTTTTCAAGCACAGATTAGACTACATTATGGGATGTAGTACATAGGTAGTTTGGGACATATGTGCGTGCGACTGCCAGGATGGTGGAAGGCAAACTAAATGGACCTTGGTCTTTTTTCGTCTAGCATTTCTTATGTACCTTCACCCCACCCTTGTTATCTTGTCATTGTAATCTGTGAATAGATAAGATTAGTCTCTTTCTTACTATTCGCCCGTCTGGGAGCATGTTCTCCCTCATACAGCCCTGACTCAATATTTTCGAGACCTCCAGAAATCAAATGTGTTAAGCATAATTTGAAGGGCTTTGGAAATATCAAATGTAGCATGTAAACATCGATCTCTTGTGCTAGAAAGTGTCTCAGAGGCTGATCACTTGATAGGCCAAGTGGCCTACTTTGGCTGCAATCTGATATCATTGAAAGACAAGTCATGCCTGAGTGGAGTTTAGTGGGATGGCATGAGATACATTGGTGTAATGTCCAACATTTGATATTTTACAATCTCACAGAAAACTTTGTGAAGGGTTTGTATTACACATCTATCAGCATTGCATAGGATGACCACAGTTGCTTGCTTCACAGCCGTGGCTGAGTGTATAATGACGGCAGTTTACGTTCTGCACAAGTAGGCATGCATAGATCAAAAACTCAAAAGCAATTTGTGATCAAAAATGTGTGAATATCTCTGAAACTCTGACTTTGAATGCGTTTGAACTTTCAATTTAGCTTTGACCTCTCTTTGACAAGAGTGAAATAGGGGAGAGTAGTCTAATCTAGGATTTTGTTAGCAGCTATATGGCCAACGATGACAGCTCCTCAGGATGAATTCCACCCTGAGCCACCTGGCAATATTCAACACTAAAAATGAATACAGTCTAGATCGGGGATGGCCAACTTGCTTTCCCTGTGACTATTTCGCGTACGCTTCATGTGGCCTGCATATGGCCTACAAATTGGCCATTCCTGGCATCCCTTGCATAGAGATTATCTTCTCTTTGCAAGTCCCAAGTATCGTGCTTGAAATTACCCAAGCCTACTGGCTTTTACTTAATCTTTCAGTTTTAGAGTAATTATGCAAGAAGCTTTATGATACCATATCTTTCACCAGGAGTCTTGACTTTCACCATTATGAAGCACTGTTTCACAAGCTACCTAGAGTACGGTTCATCAACTGAGCTGCATTTACAGCTTTGCACTCTCCCTACTGTCTATTTTTAAAACTATGAATAGCCTGATGAACTACAATTGTCAGAACTGGTTCTACTACAGGTTACCAAGTTACTAGACTAAATGTAAATCTGAAAAGCTATTGGTTTATAAAAGGCAGATTGTTCAACCACAGAGCTTTCAGTCTGGATTGAATCAGATGGATAGGAACAAATCAAATCAAGTTTTTAGCTGAAGAAATGTACTTTCCTCAAATATAGAATTATGAATGAAGGGCTATTATCTGCTTCAGAGCTAACCCTAATAGCTGGTTGGAAAGGGTGCTGTGTGGTACTGAAATGTATGTCTTTCATTACGGAGTGAGCTCATGGCTTGACGACCTTTTTGATGACTTCAGTGATGACAAAATTAGTTTAAACAGTGCTGAGCTAGGAAGAACCCTGCCCCCAACCCTCTTTGTCTTCATAAGTGACAAGTGTCAACGTTGGGTGGTGTACCTGCTTGTGACAGTGTTATTTGGAGTGGAAAGTCTATTGTATTGCATTGCGTATTTTGTGATCAAATTTGATTAAATGGATAAACCATTAAATTTTGTCCCGTAGCATAGTGGTTAGCTTGCTCATCTCGCAAGCGGAAAACCCGGGTTCGATTCCCAGGTGGGACGAAACCGTAGGCAAGTTTTCTTACTCCATACACCTCTGGTTACCGAGCAGTAATTAGAAACCGGTAGTTAGTCGATGGGCAGATCGCGTTCCAGGGGGTAATAATCCCTCATTAAAAAAAATTGGGGGCATTCAATTCATGACTGTTTGCAGGACACTGCTGAGAGAAATTGGCTGCCGTGTTTCACCCACAAAATACAGTCGATCCACTTTTGCAATATATTCTGTGAAGCGCTTTGAGATGTTTCAAATACAACGGTTATTATTTATTATATAACCACATTTAAAACTTATTTGTTCAGGACCCGCAAATAATTCAAATGGATCCAGCTCTGATTTCACTCATGCCCAGCGAACAGAAAGCTTAAGCAACATGGAGGGTGCCACCATCAATATAACTGCCAAAACGAGGTAAGAATCCAATTACAACATTCCAGGCATCTTGTTGTGCACATCTGATCCTAAAAGCCTTGAACTAGCATTCATTTAACTACTGTTGCTGATGTTTTGAAATTTGACCTCCAAGTAAGATTCCCCCGAAGGAAGGGAGCAGGTTGGTTAACAATGTTATCAAACAATAGTTGGTCAAATTCAGTCTTCTTTCATCATCAGGAACCCTCACCTGACATTCCTGCATTGCCTCAATAATGTGGGATACAGACACATTTCCCTAGGGAAGGGAAGTCTCTTTGCAAAATGGCATTGGGTTGTATCTGTGCTTTCAATTCTTGTGGCTAAGTAATCCAATTTTAAAGATTATTAAAATGTTGTATAGAACCAGGTCCAAGTTTCATTTTTTTAAAAAAGTTAAAGCAAGCACTCAGTCATAATAAATCTTGCATTTATATAGCTCCTTATTACATCATGCTGCTTCAATTCAGAAAGCTGTGCTTCAGGCATTTGAGTAGGCCCATAAAGCTTTCCCTTTCTCCCAACTTTGGGCTCTCCTCCACTACCAATTGAGATGTCTGATCAGGTGGGGGTTAAAGATACTGTGGCACCCTTCGAAAAGAGAAGGGGGTTGCTATATGCAAATGGCCTACCACCTTCGCTGACAAATACAGTTGATGCACTTTACACTAAATTCTGAATACAGTAATCCTAGCATTTGATATACTGCCTTCCACATTGGGTTGTCACATCTTGACTATAAACGATTAGGTGCTGCATTAAAGGCAAGTATTTTTCTTTTCGCAGCCTCAGTGTAAGATTTCTGGAATGACTATTTAGAAATGTACCCTTTTTCTTTCAGAAGTAAAGGAAAAGAGCGCATTATGAAGACGTAACTGTTCTTCCTTCATAGTGAAAGATTTTGGGAAGTTTGGGGCCAGGGTTAGGCAGGCAAATTGGTACCTACTGTAATTCAAATCATTACTGATGAATTCTTGCAAATTCAAATATTCAATGTTAAATCCTTTTGAGAAATGTAAAGGTTATTCCATTTCATTATATTAGAAAAGAAAATCTTTGAAATAATTTGGGAAAATTATATCCCAAAATGGCATTTCAACTTTTTCAAAAGGTAGATTAAATCAACAATTAAATTCTACTGGTGCCAACTCAAATTGACTTAGTTTAAATACAGCAATATCCCAGTTGATTCTGGGTACTTGAATGCAAGGACAGCAAATGTAATTCATGGCAAATGTTATTCAATGTATTGCCTTCTGTCCCCCACTCAATCTTGCTTTCAGTTTAACCAAGAAATTAAAATGATGGAATGCCGTAGGTGTTGTAAATATACATATAGTGCCCCAACTTTTGAGACTGATTTTGTTTTGAAATTGGCTCTTATTGAACTTCAACTTCAAGAAAATTAGTTTGAGGTAAAATGTTTTAAGGCGTCTCTAGATTTAACAGGTTGTAGGAATTCTGGTTAAACTTTGCATAGAAGTGCTAGTTATGTGCGTTTAAAGATGTGAGACTTCTCTTCCTCATGGGAGGTGTAAAGGCCAATTGCTATATTTCAGTTATACTGCAGTCGACCGATTCCATTGTGCTAATCCACCCACATAACCAAAGTGAATTTTGCTTCTTTGCAGAAACATGCCTGGATCAGCCTTGCCGGTGACACAGCAGATGACAGAAATGAGCATTTCTAGAGAGGAGAAACCCACAGAAGCTGAGGTAGAGGAGCCAGGTATGTAAAATTGCATGATCTGAAAAGCTAGAGCATATTTTTCATTGGATAAAATCAAATTGTCTCAGGATTTCCAAGATTAAGATCTACTTATGAAAAATGAGTAGTTGAAGGGAGTTGCAGGACCTACTACATAGTTGTTCATAGAGACAGAACATAGTTCTTCCTATTGCTTTCAAGCCATTTGTGACTTGGTTGTTTGATGCTACATAAAGATCCAAGCGCATAGACTACCATTTCCACCTGCTTCTAGGGAAGATGTGTAGTGTCGGAAGTGGCATCTATCAGATGAAGATAGTAAACTGAGGCCATGTCTGCTTGTTCAGATTGATGTTAGATTCCTTTAATATTGGGGAAAAGGGAGGACTTTCTCTCAGCATCACAGCCAACAATCCTGCAGAATAATTTGTAGTTTTGAATGATCTTGCTAGTTCGAATGTTGGTTGCTTGTCCTCGTTACACTTGATGATAAATCCTTGTATAGCATTTTAAGGCTTTTCTACATTTTAGAAATTTTTGATTTAATCTCTTTTGAAAAACTTCAGATGACATTTTGGGATATGTTTTTCCCAAGTTATTTCAAAGATTTTTTCCTAATATAATGAAATGGAATAACCTTTACATTTCTCAGAAGGATTTAACACTAAATATTTCAATTTGCAAGAATTCATCAGTAACGATTTGAATTACAGTAGATTGCTGTTATATACTGTTCAATTTTAGAATAAACATGATTTGGTCATTCAGTCTGTGGCTGTTTGTAGGACACTGCTGTGTGCAATTATTATTATTATAATTGGCTGCTGTGTTTAGCCCATTAAAATGGTCGATGCACTTTACTATATATTCTGTAAAGCGCTTTGAGACATCTCAATGACATAAGGTGTTATATCAAATGCAAGGATTCTTATTTTTTTAATAACCGCTAGTATATTTCCAACCTGCCTTCCAACTAGGCTCAATCCAGAGCTGCTGGTCATTGTACCTACACCAAACTGTCACTGATGATATCACTGCAGAAAGCCAACCAGCTCCACTGCATTACAAATTACAATGTTGTGCTTCAAAACACATTTGTGGCTGAAAGGTGATGCACAAAACCAGGCTGAAAGCGTGGCTGTTTGAAGTGACTAAGTATGTCTGCAACTTAATGGCTCTTTTCCTTTGTAACAGTTGTAGCTCAGCCATCTTCATCAATTGCGTCAGAGAGTGCTTCAGGGAATGAAGAATCTCCCGAAGTACCCAAATCAAAGAAGAACAGGTGCTTTGCATGCAGGAAGAAGGTTGGTTTTACAGGTAAGAGGAATTTGTTTAATTTGAAATAAGCCAGTGTGCTTTCTGCATGCATCTTGGATTTTCTTTGATAAAAGTGCATGTCAGGATCCGCACTTCCAGAGTTGACTCAGTGTTATAACAAAGTGATATATAATGAGGAGTTATTTAGGTAGTAACGGTCATCGAAAGAATATCAAAGGCTCTGCACATGTTTCTGCTGAACGTTCAGCCAAGAATGGAGAGAGAAGAGACCTCGTAATATTAAGCACAAAGTAAATTTCTTTCTTTCATTAACTAGTCAGCCAGTGAACGGTGTGCTGCTGCCTGCACAAGTATAATCTTAAAAGTAACATTCCTAGTAGTGTGGTTTAATTCTCTGCTTGAAACCAATAACATTGCTGGTGCCTCATGGACTGCTGATTGTGTCTCAAAATCAGCTTTGTCTTCCACGAGGGAATTTGTAACTATTATTCTGAGGGAGGGGGGCTTTGTGTATTACCGTGACTCGTGAGGAGATCACGGGGAGGGGGTCAAGGAGCCGAACAATATCCCAATTCTCAAGGTGATGTTGGGTGTGAGCTAAAGTCTTAAAGGTCAGCGTGCTTTACCAGGTGGGCAAGGGAGTCCCACCTGGCACCCCATCTCCCTGTGGACCGAGTTCAAGATCCTCATCCTAGTCTTTAAATTTCTCCATGGTCTTCCCCCACCCAACGGTCCACACAGTTCCTCTGCTCGGTGGGCACCAGTATGCTACAGCCTTCCCCGCCACCACCTACCTGCTCCACCATTGGTGGTTGGACTTTCAGCCTATTTGCCTCCACTTTGGAACTCCAGTCCAGAATCCTTTCCCTCCCCTACTTCAAGGTCCGTCTCACAACATCCCCTGACTTCCACCCCCAGCTTGGGTGGAAACCCTGTATTGTCCACTGCCCTGGGACATCTTCCAAACATGAAAGGTAAACTTGCTGTTGATTTCAGGGTGCTTTTTTAGGTGCAAGCCACTTAACCAGGAGCGTGTTTTAAAGCCTGTTAGTTATGACATTAACTGAGGTGATGTACTAAAATTTTAACTTTCAACAGCAGGTTTTGACTGCCGGTGTGGAAATCTGTTCTGTGGACTCCATCGTTATTCGGATAAGCACAATTGTCCTTACGATTACAAGGCAGAAGCAGCAATGAAGATCAGGAAAGAAAACCCTATTATTGTGGCTGAGAAAATTCAGAGGATTTAAACAGACAACTGAAGAGGACAGTAACTATCAAAGACTGTGTTTATTCCTTCCATGTCCTCTGATCTATTTGAGGATTTTCATAGAGCAGATGCATGGGCTACTGTTCCTTGTCTGTCCAAGTTTCTGCTTTAGCCCTAGTTTCTATTAATTGTAAGGTGGTTGGACGTCAGTTTCGGATTAATTGGGCACATCGTATTGCATGGCAAGCATTGACCTACAAAGTGGATAATGGACAGGTTAGCAGTGGTTCTGATGTGCCAAGTCAACACGATACCATGCAACATGCTGTAGTGATTTAAATTCTGAGTAAAATGACCAACCTGAAATTTCAGTTGACTTCAGTATATTGCTTTTCATGTCTAAGCACTGAGCGTTAGTAGCCTTTAGATTTCATTGTGATATATGTTCTGTAGAATTAATCGTTATATGTTGAATACTATAGAACATATCTTTGCATAGATAAGGTTTGAAGGTGTGTGGCTGGCTCCAGTAGTACTGTTATGGTTCTTGACTCTCTCCCTATCTCTCTAGGTATATTTAGAAACAGTTTTGTAGGTTAATGATTTTCATTCTGATCAGATAGTTCTTTTTCTTGTGAAAATTTTTAAGAAGGCTTCCAAAGTCGTTGATTATTCACTTTGTAGTTGGGCAGTGATTATTGCTGCTTGCCTCTGCAAAAACTAGCTGGGTCCACAAATGGTGGCCAAGTTACGAATCACTTCTGCCAGCAACCAGAAGTGCATCACACTGATCCGCTTCCATGTGTTTGGAAAGTATTTTACTCTGCATGTCAGACTGAACAATGCATATTGCTGTAGTGGCCAAGTTAATCTGGCTCAGTTGGGTTACATTTGACTTAACAGTAGTGAAGCCTGGCTTTATGTATTAGCATATGTACATTAGTCGTCTGTAGCTGTATGATAAATGCAGGCTGTGCTTTACTAAAGGTTGCATATGTCTTTAGCAGATGTGTTAGTAAAACAGGTCAATTCTTAGCTGAGATTATGCCCAAGCAACTTTTCTGATGTCCTGCTTGTATGAAACATTGGGTGTTGGTGGTGCAGATTATTTTTACACTGCATTGATGCCAATTGTGCAGTATAATGCTGGTATCTTTCCAATGGCTAAAACTAGACCCCTTCCCATGGCTGATGCTCTGCATTACCCACAGTATAACTGTAGCACAGCCAACTTTTGATTTTAAAAACACTCTGGCAGTCTCCTGGACTGAAGTTTGCCACTTCTAATGCTAGAGTTTACAAAAGTTGGCTCTTTAACATTAACTAGAGAGATTTGTGCAAGGTGCCGTATGTGTGCATTGAAGTATGCATGCTCTGCTTTCCCCATAGATGGAACAGTACAAACCAGCAGTGCTATCGTGGCTGTATGCACTCGGCTCATAAGTGCCCTCAAATAAGTGCACTGCTTAGTTCAATGTAACTGGGGACATAATGTTAAGTGTACAGGGGTAGGAGTCTAGTGTTGGTTTGTATTGCATGGGTCTCATATCTTCAGCAGTGTAATGTACTAATGGCAAAATACTTCACCGAAGCTGTTGTACTTTTTAAATCGGTTATATTGGAAGGTTTTGTGATGTACTAAGTATTTGCATTTTTAAACCAGTACAGTTAGACATGTAGTGTGATTGGAACCTTTAAATAGATATTAAGTTAACAATTTGTTACCCAAGCTGTGATCTTGATTGCTGTTCATTCTTGCAATACCGGGTAACTCTGCACAGTTAACTATAATACACAGGGGCTTAGATTTTGACAAAAGTATAGATAGTATTTATGCCTTTTTAATTTTTAATATTCTAGATATGTAATTTTTACAGAAGTGTTTATATTTATGTAATGCATATAATCATGCTACAGCATCTATGCTAAATGGGGTGTAAATAAAACTTATGTACAGAAATAACTTTTGGCATGTTGCTGCTTTTTCTTGAGAATAAAATGATGAAATAAGCTTGTGTTTCTTCCCTTTTTATGTTTATCTACCATACATTTTGTGTGCAGTAGGTGCCAGCCTGGCTCGGTTGGTAGCACTTTTTCCCCAGAGTTAGAGGGTTGTGGGATTTGAACTTTGTTTAAGCGGACACTCCCAACTTAGTGCTTGGCAAGGCCTGTATTATTGGTTTTCTTCAAATGAGAGATTAAACTGAGGTCCCATCTGCCTGTCCAAATGAACATTAATCATTCTATGAAGTTATTTGATAACAGAAGGGAATTTCTCCCAGTGTCAACAATTCTCTTTTTTTAAAAGTTATTCATTTCATAACTGTTTGGGGTTTTGCTTTGTGCAAACTAGCTGCCAATCTTGCCTATAAATAGTCGTTACACTTACAGTAAACTGTAGTACTTTCACCTTGTCATGAGATGCTAATTCAAATGTAATTTACATTAGAAGTTATTTAAAACTAAATTGGGGAAGGTCCCCTCATCTGCTCCTTAATCCCCTCCCTCGCCATTTTTCTCCAGTATAAATGTTTGACTGCAGACACTGAGTACCTAATAGCCCTTACATTTAATAATGCATTCAGAAGGATATCCCAAACTGGTTCACATGATGCAATACAAAACAATGCCATAATATAAAGTGGAGACTGTTTTGGGGGGCAAATGAAATGGCAACCAATTTGCACAGCAGTATCCCACAAACAGCCTTGAAGCGAATGATCAATTTTATTTGGAGGATTGTTGGTGAGGACATGAGGAGTAACTCCCTTCTCTTCAAACAGTGCTGTGGGATCTTTAACCTCAATCTGAACAGGCGACAGGGACTCAGTTTAAACTGAGTTCTAGATCACAGCAAATATCGACTGGACCAAAGCATTTTACTTAAATTGATAGGTTGAGAAATTCCAGACAATTTTCAAACAGTAAATAATGGCCTCCACTGCAGTAAAAGTATGCAGTATGCTATTTGCTTCAATCTGCTTATGGCTGAAAATAGAAACTGGAGATTAATGTGTAATATTTAATTCTACGTCTTGATGGGTAAAGTAAGTTTAATGATCCCACAGATGTGTGACGAGAATACTACCACATCTGGCGTGCTGCTTAATGGTGATTTAAGCAGTCCGCTGAAATGACTCACGTGGAGAATCTCTTGGTAAGTAAATTAAGGTTTAAGCTTTTTCAATGCAATCTATTCTGGAGAGAAATAATTTGTATGTCTCAGAAATAAGTTGTCTTTCCTGTGTTGCCAAAACTTGAACTTCAAAATACAATAGCTTTAGTTTGTATAATGTCAGCCTGACTTAGTAGCATCTTTTGCGGTTTCTTCAGCAACTTGCATTTATATAGCACCTTTCATGAGGGTAGCATCTCAAAGTGCTTAACAGTGGCAGAGCTTGACACCAAGCTGAGAACAGGGAAGATTATTGTAGTCTTCAGATGTGATCTAAGTGCTAACAGGGAGGGAGCAAGGCAAAGGGTTTGAGGTAGAAGGTACAAGAGTTTTGAAGTGTGGTGGCTGAAACTACAGCTTGGTAGACAGGGTGAGGGAGTCCCCCATCTGGATTTTGAGTCATAGACCTGGCTAACACTCCATTACAGTGATCAGGCCTGTGGCACAGTCGGATTTCAGCAATAGAATATAGTGGAGGTTAATTCACAAATGTTCTTTAATGAGGAATCAATTTGCAAGTTACACAAGTTGACTCTCTCTGGTACCCAGGTATGTTTTGCTGTCCAGCAAAAGCTGATGCAATTTAGCTGATAAGTGAAATTCCTGTTCAAGGCAAAAAGATTGAGACTGAAAGTACCAGAGTTTTGGAGTGTAGTGGCTGAAAGCACAGCTGCCATTGGTGGAGCTGAAGGGACGAGAGAGTCCCACATCTGGATTTTTATGTGAGTAGGGAGAATGGTGGCACCTCCAACACTGCAGCACTCCCCCAGCACTATGCAAAGAAGTACATTTTCTTCAACCTTTGTGCGCTATTTTGAAAGATTATAAATGAACACACGGAATGTGCAGTAATTATCTGCACACCCATTCACTGTAGTGTGTGGCGTTAACAGCATTACCCTTCATGGATGCACTTTACACTTCATGGAGCCAATACAGAACCTCAGCATCCTGTTTGAACCTCAACTGTACTTCATCCCCCCACATCCAAGCCATGACCCTCTCCGCCTTTCCCCATCTCCGCAACATCGCTCGGCTCCGCCACTCTCTCTCACCCAAAGTCACTGAGACCCTCATCCACGCATTCATCACATGCAGGCTCGAATATGCAAACTCCCTGCTTATCAGCCTCCCCAACTCCTGCCTCCACTGGCTGCAGACCATCCAGAACTCTGCAGCCCATGTCCTCTCCCGCACCAGCCTCCGCTACCCTATCACCCCCATCCTTGCCTGACTCCACTGGCTTCCCATCACTCAGAGGATATAGTTCAAAATCCTGTTCCTCACCTTCAAAGCCTTCTATGTCCTCGCTTGCTGTTGGATCTTTACTGAAATAATCAATTTTCGTGCAGGTAAGTATCTGGATTCGTGTGGGACCCTCAAAATCCATGTGCAATAGGGCATTGTATGTTGTGCATTATTTTAAGGAATACTTGTGTTGTCTCTCTCATGAGTCAGGTTTCTAACTGATCGCAATTCTTAATAGTATCCAAACAAACAGTTCTGTGCATGTCACCTACACAAGGAAATTCTTGTGTATTTGAATGGAATGTACACTCCCTGGAGTGATGGATTCTGCTTATTTAATTCCAGATAGAAATAGGTGTGTGTTGGCTAGAGCCAAGGCTTAGGGATCCCAGTGCATATTGGGGTACTGCTGGAGTCTAACCAACTGAAACCACGTAGCTTGCCATGATATCCCTGTCTGGCAAGCTTTCCCTCTGCATGTCCAGCTAGGATCACCCTACCTGTTAAGGCTTTGGCTTGCAGGTTTAACGGGAGCTGAGTAGGAAAAATCTTTGCCCACAGTATCTGGTCTGACCCTCTAAGTCCTACTGATGAGCAAGGATGGCTGGAATATCATCAGCACTACCTGCAGCACTGTTACCAGGGCTCCGTCTGCCTCCTCGTCCTCCTGGACCTCTCCACCATATTCGACACCGTCGATCACACCATCCTCCTCCACTGCCTGTCCTCCATCATCCACCTCAGTGAGATCGCACTCGCTTGCTTCAATTCCTATCTTACAAACTACCAGCACTACATTTTGCAAATAGCTTTTCTTCGGGCTTCCACCTGGTCAAGCTCGGCCCCCATCCTTGGCCCCCTTCTCTTCCTCATCTATATGCTCTCTCTCGGTGATATCATCCTCAGATACGGGGTTAACTTCCACATGTATGTGGATGACACTCAACTCTTCCACCTCCAGCTGCGACCCACAGTCCCCTAATGTTCTGTTAGCTTATTTGTCGGACATCAGGAGCTCGATGAGTACAAATTTCCTGCAGTTAAACATCAACAAGACGGAAGCCATACTCTTTGGCTCCCACTAATGTCTTCTGTCTACGTTTCCAACCTCCTCAACCTATCTGACCTGTCCTTAATACTCTCTGAACCCATGCGCAACTTAGGCATCAGGTTCGATCCCCAGTTATCCTTCCTCCCCCACATCAGGTCCCTAACCAGCACCGCTTTCTTCCACCTCTACCACATTGCCTGTCTCCGATAATACCTAGCCTCATAAGATGCCGAAACCCTTGTCCATGCCTCTGTCACCTCTCGGCTGGACTACTCTAACGCCCTCCTCACCGGTCTCCCCTCCTCGACTATTCCCAAAATCCAGCTCATTCAAAACTCCGCCGCCTGCATTCTCACCCCCACCAAACTTCGTACCCCGATTACTCCAATCCTTGCCAAACACTGGCTCTGTCACAGAGCGGATCGACTTCAAGATCCTCACTCTTGTGTTTAAATCCCTCCATTCCTTGGCATCCCCCTATCTCTCTAACCTCTCTCCCCACAGCAGTACCCGCTGCCTCCTCCATGTCCCCCGAATCCTCCGCACCACCATCGGTGGCCGTGCCTTCAGCCACTACACCCCGAAACTTTGGAACTCCGTCCCTCAACCCATTCGCCTCATCCCCTCCTTCCCCATCTTCAGGTCACGCCTAAAGACCTTCCTCTTCAACCGCCCCTGCAGTCACCTTCCCCCTCCCCCTGTCTCGGCCTCAGGCTCCACCATTGTTAAGCGCTCTGAGACACCGCCGAACATGGAGGGTACTATATAAATGCAAGTTGCTGTTGTTGTAGACCCACCTGACCCAGAAATTGAATAACCGAGACTGATGCTTTGTTGCTAAGCACGTTCAGCTCCACGAAGACCCTGTTTATCTCCCATTTCATTCTCCGTCCCAATCTAGGAGGAGAGAGCAATTAATGTTCATCTTCTGTGTCAGTCATAGAATAAGACAGATCAGTTAATATTCCAGGAGTAAGAATCTTCATCAGACTGGAATGAGCAGACATTAGAAATTTAAACTTTAAAATCACGAAATACTGCGCATGAACAAAGAGGTAGCAAATAGATCACTAACTGATTGAGCAAGTAGGTAAGTGGTGAAACTGGTGGACTATACAGTATTTCAAAATTGCTCTTTTCCCTTACTCCCACCCCAGCAATGATTCCCTTTTAATAAAGTACAGCTTAAACGGCACTTTTGCTCTGTTTGCAAGGCAAATCTCTGAATTGATTTGCTGGGGAGAATAATTAAAGTCAGGGATATTAAACTGCAAAAACCTTGCAGCAATAATAATCCTTGCATTTGATATTGCCTTATCACATCGAGTGTCTCTAAGCACTTCACAGTAATTACTGTTAAGTGAAGTGACCGTGCAGGCAAATGTGCTTCACAATCTAGAACAAAACTGAATTAGCATTCGATGAGCAATTATAGAAAGCTATAGTAATTCCATTAAAAATTACAGCTATTGCTGGTTTGTTCCTTCCAGTGTTGTTCATTTCATAATTGCTGCTGATAAGAAGGAAATTTTAATA